AATTTAGCTTTTTAGTATACATTTAAATTATTATTATTAAAAAAATATAACATTCAAAGTAAAACTGATTTATTGTATTCTAAAATAAGTAGGTAAACGCAAAATCATTTCTAGCAATAAAAATATATAATAATATAGCAATATTTCAAGTGTAACAGTAATTTTTTAGTTAATTGTTAAAGTAATAATGAAATGTTTTAAATTTCTAAAGTTATTTTATACTTTTTGAATTACAACAAAGTAACAAAAATTGATTAAAGAGAAATCGTTATTTTACGTGTAAATGTTCAATATCATCAAAATCTGAACATCAATCACTCATAAAAATGTATATGACTTAATCTTAAACTTTTTACTATTTCTAGTAAAAAAAAATTAAAGAGAAATCTTGTATTTAATAGTTTATGTTTTGTATGTACTAAAATAAAAAAAAATAATATAAAAATAATTTATATGTTTTTTATAATTTTGATGAATTTTTAAAAATTTGAACTTGAAATATATTTATAAAAATATATTTTCAATGTTCAAAGCTTTTTTGCTTAAAAATAAAAATGATGTGATACATATACCAAAAAAAATTCGAAATTTTCAAATGTTGATAAATGGCACAAAAAGATCTAAAATATTTTAAAATTTATGTCATTAAAAAGAAATGCTTTTATAAATATTTGACAAAACATCTAAGTTTCTACAATTCTTAATTTTTGAATAACAAAATACACAAACTTATTTTGTCGAAATTTGGTTTTAAGTAAAAATTAGCGTTTTTTTAAATTATTTTAAAAAGCAATAGGAATTTTCAGTTTGTCTCTCATAAATTTAACTAGATTCAATTTGTTACCAGAAACTACAGAACATTGGAGTATTTTTACTGTTTAAAAAGGTGGTAATAGATACGCATACATATAAAAAAAAAAATCATTGTAAAATCAATAACTAGCTCCACTCAGACTCTACAGCGAGCATATAGTGGCCTCACGTAAGTACAGTTCATTATAGTTTATTGAGAAGTTGTGGTATATTTATATAATATACAAATTGATATACAAATATACGTATGAAGTTATTAACTTTTATTTAATATACATTTGACAATCTGAAATTTACCTATTAAGTCATAACAAGTAATTTTTTATTCCATTCGTTACATCGTTAGATATAAATTATATACTATTTGAGTAATTATATTAAGCATGATTCGGAACTTTTTGAACAATATTTCAATAAGAATATTGATGTATTCATAAAAAATATAAAGATGGGTACTCAACTTTTAATTATTACTGTAAAAGTTGTATTTAATAAATATAGGTACTGCGGCGAACATATAGTATACAGAAGTGATAGGTTTAGGAATTGAGTTCTTAACATATATAATATAGTATAGTATATTTTTTATTTAAGTATGACATATTTGTGTAATATTATGATGAGTATGTATTTTTAAAAATATAAATTAAAATACTTGTTAATGTTGATTGGGTTTTAGTAAATAATATCCACAAGTTTACTATGGCTATTGACTATAATAAAAGTTGACACCTATATATTTTTTTTAAATACATAATGTGTATTGATCGAGTTAAAAGAGAGCTGAGGTTTCTTACAAAGTTACAAATAATAATCAATACTCTGGATTGCTATTAAGTTAATTTACGAACTGATAAAACAAAGAACTTACAGTTACAAACTGATTCTAAAAATTGTGAATAGAAATAAGGTCATGATGCTTACGCTATAGATGAATGTAATATTGTTCAAAATTTAACATCCTGTCTGACAGTTCGTATCAACAGTTTAGAATTTTAACTTTGAATAAGCTTAATTTTGAGATTACTCGATATCATACACGTATCATTTGTTAACATCAGTATTCATGTAATAATATAAAATTATTTTTTATTTTTAGAAAATGAATATAAAATATAATTAATTGACAAATTTTTAAATACATAATACAAGACATTGTTAAATAAAAAAATAAAAAATAAAGATATTCAATTTTATTAGAATATTGGGTAATAAATGTTTTTATTGTATAAAATAATAAACTGAAAATTTAGTTTTTTTTTTAATGAATATAAATAAACGTTGAACGAACTAAAAAAAAAAAAAAAAAATTAATTCAATTCATGTTAATCCAACATAAACCATTTAACAAATATTCTCAGAAAAATTTCTGTTTGTATAAAAGTACTCGAGAGATATATTCAGTATACAGGATGGTTAATCAAGCATATTTGTCTCTATTTTTCTTTTAGTAATTAATTAATTTAAATTTTAATACTTAGTATTTTTAAACGTGCAGAATTAAGTAATATTTTTCAAGTACAGAACTTAGATTGTTTATATCATTTATGTAGTGATCTGTGGCGTTTGCATAATAAATTATAAATTATACCTATAGTAATTATTTTCTACTGAATTAAATTTATGTTTATTTGCAGCGTTTTTGTATATTATATACACATTAATAAACTGACAAATAATAAACACCATCATAATATGGATTAATATTACTTATTTAGTAAATACCATACCTAAGTTCTATAATTTTTTTAATCTGTTATTAAAAATTTAAGGTTGTGTATTTAATGTTTACAGTATAGTGTATAAATTTACATAGGTACTATTAATTTTTATCGTTAAATTTCAATTTTAATATAAATATATAATAATTCAATTTAATATAAGCAAAACTTCCTTTTATCTTTTAAGAATATATTTAAATAAATTTTAATTATTGTAATTTTTTAAAATATCTTATTTTTCAAACTTTTTTTTAGATACTTAAATTTATTTACTATTTAAAAAGGGTATAATACAAACTTCATTCTTTTAATTAAGAACCACCCTTTTTTACAGTAAGTAGTAAAAGAACTTAAATATCATTTGAAAATATGGTTCTTAATTCTTAAGTGTTATACATCAAAATGTCAAAAATAAGAATTTGAGTAAATTCATTATTGAATTATAAAAGAGGGAAGAGCATGTTTGATAAAACACTCTGTATATTTAAGTTTATTGGAACTGGAATATTATTAAAGTACGAAATGTATGCAAATGTAGGTATACACCAAAAAATAAACATTAAACATATAAAACATAACCAATAACACTATTTTAATAATAATAATACTAAAGATTTTAAATATTGTAACACTTTTAGCCTTTTTATTTACTAAAGTACTTAGTAATAAATTATACTAATCATTAATTATTATTTGCGTATTTGAACACACGTTAAGTTTAAACACTGTAAAAATATATAAATTTAAGTCAATAAAAAATAATTTCTATTAATATAATACAATTGATCACAGTAACATTAAAAAAATTAGCAACTATTATAAACAATCAATAAAATGTATAGTTTGTATAAATAATATAGGATTTTGTAAAAATGTTAATACAATTTTTAATAGAATAAAAACAACTACACGTAGAATATTATAAAATTTAAACCACTTAATACTTAATAGTTTGAATAAAAAGCTTTTAGATTTTAATACATCTACATAATAACATGAATAATTGTATAAATAAATACATCACAATACGCTTCAAAAATACTAGAATACTGCTGATGAATGATGATTAAAATACTTGAATGGTTTTAAAATGTTTTGAGCATTATCATTTTTAAAATATTCAAATATTTATAATAAATGATAACCATGAATGCATGAACATTATTTTTATTATAAGAAAATTGAATTTTATATTTTACTCCGGGTTTATAAGCTGAGAATAATTTGAACAGGTATTTTCTTTTGCAATTTGTGAACATAATACGATTAAAAGCGGTAAAACCATAATATAAGCCACTAGAAATTAAAAAAACGAAATTTATATCTGTTTGGTGGATAATATAATAATAATAATAATAATAATCAAATGCTTTAATATATTACTATACATTATACATAATATGGTGTAATGAAAATCCATCCTCCCGAAATGAATATTTAAAATTACGTGGAATCTGGATGGACTTACATTAAACATCGTCAAATTGAGTATTGACCGATGATGGTATACTACCTACCTCGGTTATAATGTACTCTACCAGAGGTCATTAGAATATAAATTCGTTATTAAAAAAAATCATACATTCATTTTTTTTTTTTATAAAATCTTCATTTTGCTTTATTCTATAGAAAAGACTATCGTAAAATTTAAATAAACATAAACATCATTGCTATACTAACACAAGCTGACGTTAATCGCATTACCGAGAATTCAAATTTAGTTGGTAGAATGTATTTTACTATTTATAAATCCTGACCGGATTATTTAGCAACATTTCTTCCCCATCAATACAGAGGTGTTATTTTGCTGACACATTCACGGTGCGTCATTTACTCGTCTACACTTTTAACCTATAATTCATATCACTATTAATTATTCGATATGTATATAATAGATAGTACACAACATGTGTGATATTTCCGCCGAGTCATAAATACAAAAGGTTTAAGATTTAATCGGTAATCCGTAACAACACTACCATCATGAATCATCTCTGTAAATATATATTATGATACATTAAGATACCATTATAATATATTATAATCAATACTATTTTCCATGACAATGTTAACACTAATACATTTTTTTTTTTTTTTGTTATAACCTTATTATAGTATAACAATTTTAGTATCCTATTCTTTAATAAAGGAACTAGCTGTAAATATTTTAGACGGACAGCCATATTGATCAAAATTATTTTCTTTTTCTAATAATTATAGAAAATATAAAAAGCAGCTGGGTACACAATAATTAATAATTACATTTATATCACATGTATTTAAACTAACATTTTTTTTAAACAATTGTTTTACATACCAATAATACTTAATCTCTGAATAGACTTATTTTGAATACAAGGAATTAATTTTTAAAATTTGACAAAATAAATTGTTAAATTGTATCTACAGTATGTTTTTATATGATACATTCTCGAATTAATTATAAAATACAAAATAGGTACTAACCCAAAGTGACGAGTTTCATCGAATGATTTACAACGTTTGTTTGATCGGCTAGTTGACAAGTATACACACCATGGTCAGACGATGTCAAACTCCGTGTGTATATGGTTTGATTAGCGCTTTCGGGATTCAATATAAAACTAGAGACGTCGCCAGGCCACGGGTAGGGACGATTATCCTTGAACCTGAAAAAATAAAAATGTATGTAAAAAATATTAAAATAAAGTCATTATTTCATTAAATACCATTATTTTTGGTTATTTATTAAAGGATGTATTGATTTATTCAATTATATTTACAAATTACAACTGTTTCAGAAATTCTAATATAGTAATAATCTTTGTATAGTATTGAACATATTATTAAGTTAGTCCTAAGCAGCTACAATAAAGTTCAAGCAAAAGTTTGTCGCTTTTAATAACGTCGAATAAATATGAAACCCTAAGAAGTTTAGCAAGTTATTAATTTGAACACGCTTCTGTTTAAAACAGAATTCAGTTTTCAGTGAAGCAAAGGCTTCGTTAATTTTAAACAAGAAGAAGTTGTAAGAAAAACAAGTAGTTGGAAAATTAACGTGAGTTTTGACATTATTTGATCCCTGAAATAAAATAAATGTGTACACAGCTTTCAACTACGCTATAGTAAGTTGAAAATTGTGTTTTTCCTCTAGTCTACTGCCCTTCTTATTTAATGGGCAATTAGCGACAAAGTATTGAGAAAATGTTAACGATTTGTTTTTTCTTCTTTATATTATATATTTTTTTAATTTCAATCTATTTTAAACGACGATGACAAATTCGTTACAACGGTTACACACAAAATCCGATCGTTGTAATAGTCGATAGGAAATACCTAAACTGCAAAAACCGGTCGTTACCTACGTTGTATATTCGATGACGTGTACGCAACAACAATAATAATATATTATTATAAAAGTGGTACACTGTACACCACGATGCAATGGCGATTGAGACGTACAGCAACAGCACATAGTCTTGTGCTGTTATAGAGCGATCACCGCCGCCGCGACAAAGCCAGATCGAACCAGTTCACCGCGAGATATTCGCAGAAACAGCCGCCGTCATCGAACACGTTGTACCTAACATAATATCTATCGGCTATCGCTCGTGTTTAGGTCATTGAATTTGATGGATTGTATACATCACGGTCTGAGTGTCACATGGTGTTTACATGACGCAGCGTGAAGTGCAACAACGTGATGTTATATGAGAAAAAACCAAAAGACAATGTGTTGAAAAAAATTAACAAATTATTATTGTTTTAATAACGACAAAAAAATTTCAGAATTTAATGAAAAATTGTCAACCATGGGTTATCAAAGTATAAACATGCGCTCGTTAAAAAACTTACACAGCTATTACGTACACAACTACTCGTCGAGCATTGCGAAAAAAAACAAAAAACAAAACCTTTATTTTTTACAACATTACGATAGTTGTCCATATTACACGAGAAATATATATTATCAATAAAGACAATAGCTAATGGTTTATATTGCATATATTTTATATAAAATTATAATAATAGTAATTATAATATCATAGCTAAATATAGCACCTATAATAGATAATATAACTTAAGATTATTTCTTATGCTGACATTAAATAACATATTAGTTAAGTTGTTTGGAGTCGATTTGAATTCCTCAAATTAATTTCTACGCTACTTATATAGTTATATGTATATTTACTATAAATTATAATTCATGAGGTATACACTAAACATATTATGTGCTGCCGCAGTACAAGAACAACAATAGTTTTTCAATAGGCAATAATAATATTGTTTTTTTTTCTGTATTATTTAATTACATAAAAAATGACAATTAACGAGACATGAACCTACGTGCAAGTTTTGCTATAACAATTACTAGAACGTAGATCATTCAACTCAATAGCTTGCATCTCCTCTTTAATTTATTTCGTTACTCTATTCAATGGGTGCCATCGCACTCACGGGCTCGTCAATCAATGTCAGTCTTATAATAAATAATATTTTTTCTTTCTACATTCTAGTCTGATAATATTATAATGGACGGAAATGAGGGAGGTGTACACACTAACATGCACATACATAATCAATTTTTTTAAATCGGTTTCGCAGTATTGCATTCTCGGTAAAAGTGTAAATCTCAGATGAGTACAGGCTAAAGCTAAATATATAAAAAATAAAAATAATAGTTATGGAGCAGGTGAAGGGAGGAAAACCTGAAAAATGATTAATTATGTTGACATAGGAGAAAAATAGGCATTCGAATAATGAAATAAAACTATAGACTTAAATACATCTCTCGAATTATTCATCATAGCTTTTTAATTTACAATAATAATACACTACTTTATCATAAATCATAATTCGTAATATTTTGAGGTGAGTTTATAGGGACGTAAATAACCTAACTAGTGAACCAAATTTATTACTTGAGACGTAGGGTATTTGTTTTCGTAATATATTCGAGTATATGTATTTTACCTGGAAATTAGAATATTTAAGAATACTGGATGTCTGTGTTCTATATTTTACTGACGACCAAATCTTATTTTGAGTGTCTAATTAACTAATATATAGAAAACCACTTCATCCAATGCCCTTAAATGACTTTATTTATTAATTGTTGTTTGTAGTTTTTCCGTTTTTTCACGCTAAAAAAATTAATTTGTTGGTATTTTACAAAATGTAAGAGGTTTTATTTTTTCTTAAGTCTCTCTTTACTCATGAAAAGGTAACATGAGCAATTGTAGTTAATGGTAATTTATTAAAATATACTTAAGAATTTTCAATTTTACCATTAATTTAGTTTATTTAAACAATTTATATTAATAGTTACACCAGAAATAAAATAAAAAGTTTTAGAAATATACATTGCACAAAGTATGTTTTCCATTTATTTAAATAATATTTTGAGTAATTTTTATTATAAAATTGTTACCATGATATTTACTCATTATTCAGTTACATAAAATATAAATAAAATGTCTTTTAAAGATTATTACTATAAATACAATTAAAAATTAAATGAAAATTTTTATTATAATATGATAATGAAAATCATTTAAATATATTATTTAAGAAAAAAAATAATTTCCATAGAAATAGGACTATTTTTATATCTCAACATAAATAAAATTTACTTCAAGTTTTAAATATATTTCATCAACAAAGGTCTTAATACAGTTAAAATCAGATCTTCATTTGTTCTGACTATTTTTAGTTTAATGAAGTAAATTTAAAAAAAATAGTAAGTTCTTATTTAAATACTTAAATACACACATACACATATGCCGATTAAATTGTGAAATATTTTGGATTATTATTTATGCATTATTGTAAAGTAAAATATATAGTAAGTATGTATGTGTAAGTGTTAATTTATCCATTTGGCAAATCAATAGTACTTCCCATATTTATATATTATATATAAGGATTTAAAAAGAAACATTTAGAAATAAATACAATTGTCATAAATAATTTACAATACAATAAAAATGCATCAGGTTAATTACCTGTAACAGCGTACATAGATATACATTCTCACATATAATGTTGACTATAGAAAATGTACAGTTGTATAATATATGAGTTGGCCATGATACCGAGAACAACGTCATAGTATACAATACACATTGTGTATTATGAATTCCCAAGAGAGTCCGCTAATTATTGCGATAGTTACACATAAACGTCGGACCAGCGAATGAGACAGATGGATCGAAGGGGTAGGTATAAATAACAGCTGCGGGTTAAAGAAACTCTACAGCGCATTTGTAACGTCATTTATATATATGTATGTGTGTATAAAAAACAAATAACTATGTCGTAACGTGTTTAGTAGGTATACTAGAAAAAAGCGCATACGAGCTTACATTTTTTCAAAATGAATAAAATAAATTAGTTTCTTATTCCTAATTTGAATCTTTAAATCAATGAACAAATTATTTTCAAATATAAATCAAAAAAATATTTATTGTTCCACAAACTTATCATAAATTATAATCCTGTAGCAAAATGAAGCACGGAGATTAACGCGATTACTATTACACGGCTATATTTAACTAGATTCGTTCAAGTGTATTTGGTTCGATTTATATTAATAATACCTGCTGTATTTTCAATCTTAAATTTAAAAAGTAATTAATTTTCTTAATGTTCATTAAAATAAGACTTAAAAATAAATTAAAAACGGATGAGTAGAAATTGAATGATAATGGGATAATAGATTATTACAATATATTCAACTAAATTTGTAAAAATATAGAATAAAATATATACATTAATACGTTAATGCAATATGTCAAATATTTGTCACAATCGTTTTATTATGTACAAACTATACCTATATGAATATATTAGATAAACGAGCAATTAATGTTTAGATATATATACACGCGTTCTCCGACGGGCAATTGAAAGGTATTGAAAAAGTAGAACGTTTAAATCATGTGGAAAATATCTAGACAATAAATCCATAAAAAAAAAGAATTTGCTCAGCTGGAGGAGACGCTAAACACGACAGTTGATCAACTTGTTTTCCGATAGTTTTTTTTTCTGTTGCATCCATATTGGGCTCGTCGGAATCGCATAGACGTTTGATGTCGAATAAAGTTTTTCTGCGTTTTATACCTGTTCCGACAGATTAACAGACTTAATAGAACACAATAAACACACTCGAGTATTCTGCCAGTATAGTGTCGTGGTGGTCAAAATGATGTTTTTTATAGGTTTGAAAAAAAATGCATACAGAAATTGTTTTTACATTGATTTTTTGTTATTGATGGTAGGGTTACGTCGTGGGTGGTATCCGGATTTCATTCTATATCTTAAACAATATTGCATCATTTGTATCCTAGTATCTACCAACCGATAGCAGATAAATGACTGATTCATCTACAGTCTATAGACTATAACGAATATAACTTGAAAACTATGACACATGTTAAAAATAAATTTGTTTTATATAGTCAATGTTATTTTAATATACGCGTTACAATAAGTTAACCAAAAATCTCACTAATCATTTTAGTGGTTACTTGGGCTTGACTCATGAGAATATGAAATTAATTTAATTTAGTAAATTCATTTTTTAAAAGTTTATGATGCTAAGTAAAAATGAATAAGTGCATATATAGTGCCTACTAGTTCAATTCTTAATATTTTTTTACCTACT